AACAGTTTACAGAACTGCATAACGGCCAGCGTAAGAGCACGTTCTCAAATATCGGTGAATTTATACACGCGAATAAAGCAGACGACCTGATTCCTTTTTCTTTCGGCCGCCTCGGCCGAGCTTCCAGCACTGCAAGAAGCTTGGCGGCTCTTCTCTTCTTTCCCTCTCTTGCCCCGGTGCATCCCGGGGACTATCAAAACACGCGAAAATTGCCTTCCTTGTTGGAAATGCTCTCTTAACGCTCGTCGTAAATAAAAGTGCGGCCGAGTATTTCACTCCGTTATAATCGTAATTACGGAATAACGCGGGTGTAGTTGGTACGAAAAGTTGGTTGCAACTGCGTACGGTGGTATTTGAGAATTTCGAAAAATTCGATCTTTCAATTTTTCCTTATTTCGTTCAAAAATATTTCGACTTTCTAAACGTACTCTTTTTCTTTTTTTTTTTTCTTGTTTCACGACGAACGCAAGGAAACTTTAAAACACTGTTCCCAGAGTCGAAAGAATTTTTAGATTGGAATTCGCGATAAAAGTAAACAACAACATAGGATTCGAAGAATAAGTAACAAAAAGCTATTCCCTCGCTTAGCTCTTCGAGCGCTCAATGAAAATCCGTAAAACTTACTCTCCCTGAAATGGCTGCGGAAAATCGTTCGACGAAACGCGAGGAAATAGCGCGGCGCGGAGCCTAGGGCTGTTGAAGAACTACAGGTTCGTTGGCCAACGGTAAAAAAAAATCCACGCTTGTGATCGAATTAAATCGTGAAATCGGAGAAGAGAATTCACGGGAAGCTTTTTAACAGTGTATTAAAAGTGAGGCGATGTACGGTGGAGGGAAAAGATAAAAGAAAGAGAAAATAATCTGCCATTTTTTCACATAGAAAATTAACAATAATTATTATCACATATCTATATAGAAAAATTAAATTTTCTTTTCAATTTTATCACCGTTCATTCGCGAAGTAATTTCTCACCCGATAATATTAATCGTCGCATGTATCACCTATTGAAATTATTAACAGGCTGAAAAACGTTGCAGAGCTGAGAAATTTGCGGAAGAAACCGAAAGAACGAAATCGTTCCGTCTAGTTCGATGATAAATATTTAATAAAGACGCGAGAAACGAAATGGAACCCCCGCGGCAAATACTTTGGTCCACGTTAATGCCGCACTTTAATATAGGTAAGTCCAAGTTAAGCTCCTTACCGATGACGATACGATTAGTACGGTTGGTTGAGCTAATTGCCTTCGCGCTGATGGGAACTGAATCGAAGAGAGCCGGCAATATGAAGCGAGAACAATATCGATCGTTTTTCTCCGTTCCCCGTGTCGGGGAGGGTTGCGACAAAGATTACCGGGCTCAATAATGGCCCTGTAACCTCGTTGCTTATAAAACCCGATTCCGTGGCTACGATTACGCTCTGTCTATCGATAGTTTCTCACAATAGGCGCGCTTGTATCGGAAGGAAACTTTCGACTAACCGAAATCTCTTCCGGCACAATCGTAAATTACCATTCTCTAACCAAAACACAAGTTAAAACCTTAAAAAAAGAAAAAAGAATAGTCTTCTATCATAAACGAAAAAGAAAAAACACTTGTCTAATCTAAAATTTGTATCGTAGCTTGCTTCTTCTTCTTCTTCGAATACCGTCACGATGTAGATAAGTAAAAGAAAAGAGAAAAGGAAAGTCTAGAATGTTTTTATATAAAACGTAGTTTACAGGTGAAATTGTAAATTTTGTAAAATTCAAACGATTGTAAATTCGTAAGATGTTGCCGAAGGAAAAACCACGTATCAGAGGATGGCTCTACAACACGGGTCCGTCTTGTGCAATCCAATCGAGTTTCCCTTCCCGGTGTTTACGATCACGAGCGATCTTTTCAGCTACGGCGAATAAGCGTATTCGACGAAGATAAAAAGACGTGAAGACGAACTTACAAAGTGCCTTACCATAACGTAATGCCTCTGCATCTCGGTCTTCTCGCTGGCCAGCTTCTCGCATTCGATCTTCAGTCTGAAAAGTGAAAAGCGATTGAGGACGAAACGAGTCAGACATGCGTTAAAGCGGAAATGGTGCGCACTCGTCTACGATTCTTATGTATATGTATACATATATATGTGTATATATATATGTACACACGTGTGTGCACACGTATGCGCAGATATACGCAAGAGAACATATAGAAGAGCAAGACCGCCGCCGCGCCTTTCCCTTTGGGATTTGCAACATCTTGAATTCGAGGAGGAAGGGCGCAGTGTGTCTCTGGAAAAGTAAGATCGAGTTCTCCGGCGAAAAAGCTGAAGGAATAAGAAGAAATGAGATTACAGCGACGTTAGCGGTCGCGGTAGACGACTCGACTCCGCGCTGGAAAATGCAAAAAAATCCACTCGTGAATAAAAGAGAGGAACTTACGGGGACATTTTGGTAAATACGATCGTTCTAGGCATTATTCGCCTTGGAAAATCGGTTCGAACCTACGGAAAAGTTAGAATGCAAAGTTCGGGTAAAAACCCACTTTAATCTGCAACTTCGATGCAATTCCAATTAACTTCAGATGATTTTTCCAAAGTAAACAAATTCGCGTCGTTTCTCGAATGGGTAAATTCGACGAAACGAGGGAAAAATTCTGGAAAAACGGTTTGAAAGAGAAGTCGGCGGAATGTACCGCGGAATATTCAACGGAGGCACAAATATAACCATCCATCGGGGGGCAGTTTCAACGCGATATCGCAAGTGTGCCCGCGCAAGATAATTAATGATACGTAAACGCAGACATTTGTACACACGGTCCCATTACACCGTCGGCCCGTTCGAAAGTGAGCGTTGCTCCAATAACGTTAAACCGTTGCAGCATCGCCTCCTGCATCTGGACACTACTCGACGTTCCGTCGATTAATTAAACCGTGTACCGGCTGATAATCAATTACCATAAATCGTCGACGATCGTCGCGTGTGTTCTTTGTCGCATCGGGAACGAAATAGTTGGAACACAACCGAAAGAATTCATACCGAGACCTATAGAAGAGACGGGCAACCTCTGTGTAGAGAACTTACCGAAAAAAGATGAACTTTTGCCCTAGAATTTCAAACGCGAGGAGAGAAGAACAGACGGAAAGAATGCATGAGTAAAAGGTGAGGAGGCAAGCAGAGCCCGTATGGTGGTACAAAGGAATAGAAAAATAAGGTGAAAAACAAAAGTGGAAGAAATCGATTTCGACTTGTCGTTGTCTAACTGGTAGTAGAAGAGAAAGAAAAATATCCAACATTCCACGAAAGACGTTCGATCTTCCCTACGACGATTTCCGTTCGATTTTCACCCCCCTCCGGTGAAGTCACTCGTCTCGTTACTCGGGCTCTGCATCCGCGAGAACTCGCGGACGGAAGAGACGCGTTCGACGCGCTATTAGGAACAAGAGAAGAGAGGCCCGTCGCAAGCAAACAATTCCAACTTTCCTCTCCTGGGTAAGAGACTTCCGAAGCGATCGGCGCGCAACAGCGTCAACAGGGCGGCTGGCTCTCTGCAACGCAACCTCGAAACAGGGATGTTGACGGAGCTGTGGGGAAGGGGTTGAAGGGTTCGAGAGAAAGAGAAGAAAGCTGGTAGAAGAGACAGCGAAGGCAAGCATCGGCGTCAATAATCGTGGATCTTCGAGAAACGCGAGCGCGAGACGGAAGGGATGAATAGACGAGAAACGAACGGAGAAGAGGAGATGGTAGAGGAGGGTAGTGCAAGAGGGGTGGAGAAAGAAAAACAAAGAGAAAGAGAGAACAGGCGAGGCGAGTCAAAGAAAAGAGAAAGACTCACGAGTGGTTCTGTTGCTGGATGAAATTGAATTCCTCTTTGATCCTCTCGCAAGTGTCAGCCACCGTGAATTTCAGCCCTCCCGCAGCCCCGCCGCTTCCTCCGCCACCCTGGAACAGGAGGAAAAAAAAAATATATATAAGAGGAGGGAATTCGATTAGCATACACGACAAAGCAGCCGCGACAAAGAACGAAAAATAGATCAGCTAGACACTAGCTGGAGAGATATGCACGCGCGCGTGTATCGCACGCGGACGAGATTGGACGATCTGCACGAACGTCGCTTGTGTTTCTTTATCTGGGGATGATTAACGCGTTTCTTCTACCAACGTAAGAACTGGAGCGTTTTCACGTGCTAATGGGTAAGTAATTTTCAACGTTAAAACACTAATGTATAAACATCTTTGTTTCTTGTACAATTGAATTAGTATTTTATTTGCTTCCCATACTGTCGTGAAAAAGCGACAGCAGAAAATGTTGGTAAATGATAAATTACTTTGAAAAATAATCACTTTTCTATTTCTATGTATTTTGTAATAAAATTTTGCAAAAATGCGTTGTTATACTTAAAAAATCACATTTCTTTAACTACAGGTACATCGTACCGTAACATTCTCAACGCAACTCGACATTTAAAACGTATTTCATATGTCCGGATCAACGTTAATCACCGCAAACCTCTTCACCATTGAACACCGTATCCCTCCGGAGCAACGTCACATCCGGCTCTACCACTGAAAAACGCGTTCCAGTCCCGGCAACAAAAAGATCAAGGCAGGTTAACAAGCAAGATTTCTATCGGCTCGCACAATTCGAACAGACGACACAACAGTCTTGCCGCAACGATGGGACTCTATTTACGAAATCCGTGGAAAAAACTCGTTAAAGGGTGCAGGAGCCACGGAGAAATCTCGTTACGCCGGAAATCGTGTACACACTATGAGAAAGAAAGAAAGAGAGAGATAGAGAAGTCGGTCGACGTTACCGTCGCGTCCAAACCTTGGGTTACCCCCTGAAATCGCCGGAATAAATTCAGAATAAATCTTAACAAATCCAAATTTAAAGGAAAAGCTAGACGGTGTGCGCGTTCGTTCGTTCCAGAAACGGCCGTAAAATCGTAACGAGGTTAAAGTCGAAGATGACAAGCAACCACCATCAAATGGCCTTCGACCGCATAAGGCGCACGCAAACATAGAAACGGAGCTGAGAAACGCGAGCAGAGGGCATCCAGGTATAAAAGACGAGCGCCTCCGTGGGCTGAGAGGGAGAACCGAGGCCTGAAGAGCCAAGGATGAAGGGCCATGAAGGCGTCCTTAATGAGACCCATTCCACCAGGTAGCACGAGGTCTGTGTCTACGGGTTCTTCAGCCGCGTATACCGATGCCGCTCTACCGGTTGAAATTACGGAGAAAAGGATCGGGCTTTCCGATGACAGTAATGATTACGTTACACACATATACAAGCACCGCCGTATATACAAACATACAGCACGATACGTAGTGTTCAAGTCTATATACTCCCACTGCGGCGATGTCAATCGAATTTCGTAAGCACACTCGAAACGTGCTCGCGGGAATATTAAGAGAAACTAATCCAACTGTAGGGAACGCTTTTCAATGGGCTTTTATTCCACGATACACAACACGCCTCTTATTACGTTACAATTTACGATATTGTAATTTTATTTTTATTTTTCTTCAAAGGTGCCACATGTGCATCTCTAGGTTCGCTTTATATTCAACTTGCCACTAGCACGGGACGAATGTCGTTTCGGTGATCGATATTTAAAGTGCTTTGTTTTAATAAAACATATACTCGTACTAAAAATCGAAATATCTGGAGATAAAAACTACTCGAGTTAAGTGCTCACTCTGAGGAACATTTGAGCGAAGAGTGGCTAATTAAGAGATCAAATAAAATTACAACAATGAAAATTTAAAGGATACCTTCTGCCACGGTTTTATTTCTATCGCTTGATAATTTCCATTTTGCTCGTTGAACGGAAAGAACGGAATTCCATTTTCCAATCAGATCATTAATCCGATACGGTTACGCGGCGTCATTGAGCATCAATATTGCGTGTCGGAGGGAAAACACGCGGGTGGGAAAGAGAGAGGTGTAGATAGGAGCGGAATTCCATGCCGAATGACAAAATCTCCCGATAAAGAGAAATATTCCGGCGCGGCGTTAAATGGTCAATGACTGTCCGCCGGCTGGAAAATCCCAGTTTTTCGACGCTACATAGTCTCGCGTAGAATGATTTGGCCACTTGTTGAATTCGAAACGGGGAGTGGCTGTCGGTGGTAAAATGGTTTGGGAACAGGTTGGGGAAGAGGACGCCGGTGGGCCTCACTTGTTGCAATCATCAAACGGAACAGTCATCGAACAGGTTGTTGTTACGATGGTTAACCCGCCACCCGTACACGTATCCGTTATGTGATACGGCCAACGACAATTCGTTTTCATGAAAATTCTCGCGCGTATCTGACCAACCTGCCCGCGCCCGCCCCATCCACGATATAATTCCTCGCGTATCGATATGAAATTTTTTTCTCTCATTGCCTCTTTTCTCTCTCTCTCGTTTCCGCGATACTTAACGCACTGCAACTGTCGATTATTAGCGTGCATCTGTTTTTGTCGCAATAAAAAAAAAAGGCGATAGATACACTTGTGAAATAAAATGTGCAATTTAAGAGAAGAGAAATTTTTCAGAGAAGTATTTCTCTGTGACAGAGCGTGAAAATTTTTTGGAAAAAATAGCACGATGGTGGTAATTTTGATTGCTCCGTTGATTTTGTTTCTTCTTGTAATACCTAAGATTTGTTTTTTTTAGCACTTTTTGACACCGTTGAAAAACGAGACAATTTCACGCGTAAAAATAAGATAAATCGATATCGTGCTATTAAATAATTATGTACGGCACTTCTCCACTAGATCTAATCGCAGGAAATTATGAAAGGTGAATTGAATTAAGCCGGTTATTTCAGCGATATCTCATTCGAAGCGCAATTCCATTGTTCCTATTTTCCGGCGGAAAAAGGGAATTCTCGGTATAAGTAACCGCGATATTTAATTACTCCGATGCCAGTATGATAGGAAACCTGGTGTTATAAATGCCGTAACGAAATCTTAAATGGGGAATGCCAAATTTAGGGGACAGATGTCGACCGGGTCATTTGTCACCGCGGTTATTTGCATACCTCGTCAAAACTGCCCCCTCCCCACTTTATCCGGACTTTATTGTTTCTCTAAATAGCCCTTTATTCCTATCAGATCTCGCCGAATTCCTGTAATTACAATTTCAGAGAAAGCTTCTAGAAAATCGTGATTAACCACCATTTCCCCGCTCGTCTCTATCCGTCCCACACGGTTAAAAGAGAGCCTGAAACATCGTCGAAACTGTGCGAAAATATATTTTCGAACAATCCACCCCGAAGGAAATATCGAAAAATCTGGGTGACGTTGAAAAATTCAAAGGCACTCGAGAATAACCTTAATCGTCATATCGTATACCTTTGTCGCGAAATTCATCCCCGCGAAATCGTTCCAGACGTTAATTAATTAAACGACAACGATCCCGCCATAGTTTCGCGCATTAACGCAATATCGAATCTACAATACATACATATATATCACGAGACGGGATATCAATTTTCGTTCCTCTCCTCTTTTTTTTTATCTTTTTATTATCTTTTTTTAATTACTCTCCCTTCTTTACTATTTTTCTTTTTTTTTTTTTTTTCGACCGTTCTTTGACGCGACTATTGGATTTTCCTCTTTGGGCTTAACGAATCACACATATTCAGCGGCGCTCAAGCACAGGCGCACGCAAGATCAGTCCACGCATCGATGCTTCGGCGGCCCCCCTGATCAAAAGGGAACGGATTCGAATGATAAAAATCAATTTTTCAATAATTTTCTTTGCCCGCTCATAAGCCGTCCAATCATCCGTATCTCACACTCTCCCTCTCCCTCGTCCCTTCTTTCTATATCTCTCTTTCTACCTGCAGGTTATGTCAAAACTGTTATTAACGAGTGAAGACAAAAGTTTTCCGTTTCTCCAGGTCGCCTTGACAAGAGCATGCTTTTGCTTCGTGTCTCTATGTACCACTGGGCCTTTGTATTCATTGTCTGCCCGATTCCCCTTTCACACCAGGCGAAATCAATGAAGGAACACGCGTGAGCACGACTCCATATACGTACGCGTTTTTGCGATCTCCTCCAACGTCGATACATGTGTGTAGTTGCTTATGTGTCTGTCTGTGTCTGCGCGTGTGTGTGTGTTACACGCGGTGGATCGTATCGAAAAACCGGCTGGTTCACTTTGTTGCCGGGAGATAATGGCCGTGCGAATCGTAAATAAGGTAATAGGTCTTCGGTGGGCCGAGGATAGACCAAAGATCGGATGACGTAAGCGCGAAGCCCCTTAAGGGCGCGTCCACAACTTTCAAGAAACCGACGGATTCGGGTGTGCTAGGTTGAATTCGTGGAATCGATATATACCTTGGTTCTCGGTTCCAGGAACCTCGAACAATTGTTTGAATAATGAAAATACACGTGGCAGAAACTTCTGTTCGGAGAGTCAAATTTCCGCAAATTTTTAACGAGATGTGAATACACATGATATTCCCGATTTTTTCTTTATTTTTTTTTTACCAAATTTCGTCGGTACGTTTTGCAGTAAAAAAAAAGTAAATTGCGCGAGGAAAAATATGGGAAGAAAAATGGGAATACAGAAATGTAAGGATCGCGAGCTTACTCTTAGTCATACCTACATTCTTTTTTCCTAATTTTAACGAGCTATGAACGTACATATTTCTTGATTGTTTTTTTACCAAATTCCGTTGATGTTTTATATTAAGAAAATTAATTTTGTGACGAAAAATACGAAGAGAAAAATGCAATACGAAAGTGTGAGAATCATGAATTTGCTCTTTCAGTTATACAAAATTTTTTCCTTATTTCTCGAATAGAATAACTTTGGCGAAGTTTGACCAGAAAATCTTAAGACACCCGGTAGATTCAGTTCTGTGCAGGATAGCGAAATTTCTTCTTCTTCTTTCTTTTCTTTTTATTATTTCATCTTATTCGCGCGAATTCGCTGCTCGGT